AAGATCCTGCATGCTATGCATCAAGGCCAAAAAATATTTTCAAATAAATAAATAGAAATAAAACTTGAATACTTAAAAAATTTAAATTATAATGGAAATCAAGAGGGAGAGCAGAATCTATTTTCTAGAACTTATTAAATCGAATCAATCACAAGTTAGTAAAATGAGGTGCGGGGGATTCTTTTGAGCAGCGATATTTTATAGACAGAACCCACTCTTGTTGACCAGCTGTTTTAGCCCCTGATGTTTTTCCCTCTGACTGTGTCCCCCCCTCCCTCTTTCCCAGCCATCCAAGCCCCCACCTCTGGTGTAATTCTGGACTCTGATCTCTCTCTCTGACCCCAACCCAATTTTGAAACCCAGTCTAATGTCTAAAATACACTTCTTGGACCTATCCCTTCCTTTCCGTGCCCTCTTCCTACTCTCCGGTTCCGGCCTTTTTGCTGTTGCCTGGACCAGTGCGGTCACCTCCCTGCCAACAGTCCTTTCTTACCTGTCCAGTTGGCCCTGCCAATCACTGCCCAAGTGACCTTAGAGAGCCTCTTTTATGCTTCCCTGCTCATGCCTGTGAACAAAGTCCACACTGGCCACCTTGCCCACCTCCAGACTCATCTAAGCGAAAAGCAGCCACCACGTCACATGTGTCATCCCATCCGTTGTGCAGATGGGCAGGGAAGGGACCAGGGCAGCCACAGCACAGGCAGCCCCTCTGAGCTGGACATAAGCCAGGGGGGTGGGAATCACCTTGGAAAATAGAGTGGAAGCCCAAAGGGAAAGTGGTTCACTCTACACAAACACTGCTTCGACTTTCACTGATGCCGAGTTTGCCTGTTAAGTACCATCTCGATACCTTTGAGGTCACTTGGAGTTCATGCTTATTATCAAACCTGTGCTGATTCTGGCTGCCACCTGGTGCATTTTGCCGTCCTCACTTTGTGCAAAGGAATGAGCTGACAGATGGGGACAGTGCTTGGGCAGTGGGGAAGCTCAGCAGGAGGGCTGGGGCGGCAACTCTGAGTAATCAGAAGACTACGTTCATTAGTGAGCCCATCTTTTCAGGCATAACTAGAGTATGGGCTTTAGGACTTAGTGATGAGCAGAGGGTGGTGAGCTACTGCGTGTGTGGGTCCCTAGCTCCTCACACCTCCCAGGCTCCGTGGGAAGAGCTGCTTTCTCCAAAATCCATGATGCTTTTTAAGTTTGTCTTTTTTTTTTTAATGTGGACCATTTAAAAAATTTTATTTTTAATTGGAATGTAATTGTTTTATAATATTGTATTTGTTTCTGCTGTACAGCATGAATCAACTTTAAGTATACATATTGATGTGGACCATTTTTTAAGTCTTTATTGAATTTGTTACAATATTGCTTCTTGTCTTATGTTTTGGTTTTTGGTCTTCGAGACATGTAGGACCTTATTTCCCTGGCCAGGGATTGAACACATATGCCCTGCATTGGAAGGTGAAGTTTTAACCACTAGACTACCTGGGAAGTCCCCAAAACCCATGATTTTAAGATATGAGCAACCATCTCTTATGTCTCCTGTTTACTGGCGGGCGGGTTTTTTACCACTAGCGCCACCTGGAGTTTTCAGTAAAACCAGCTGCAGGCTGAACAGGGTGACCTGATTTGGTTGGCCTGGCTCACCTGGGCCGGGGGAAGCGTCTCCAGCCAGTTTGGGAGGCCTCGTGCTTCTGGGCTGTCGTCATTGTTCCCAGGTGGGGCTCCTGGCGAGTCAGCAGACGAGGTGACTCATGGATCAGTCTCAGGGACTGGCAGTTGGGCAGTGACCAGGCAGGTCCTGAGACAGGCTTCATTAGGAGGTGGTAAGGGAGGTGTTGCTTCCTAGGGTTGTGTGGGGAGCAGTTGTTGATTCCTTGGGTAATGAAACTTGTTCCTCTTAGCACAGGGGTTCTGATGTTTGGGGGCTTTCTAAGGAAAATAGACCATCAGCATACCTCAGGGTAGAGAATATCACCACAAAATCCTAAGCCTTGAAGGATGAATGAGGACTTGGATCTTCCCAGGATAACATCCTGCTCATCCTTGGGGAGATATCAGAGGCTTGGAGAAGTTCAGCCTCAGGAGCCTCCCCCAAGAGCTCCTTGAGGGTCAGGGACCTCAGTCAGAATGAAAAGGGACCCCTTTTCTATAGGCAGTGGCTGCCAAAGTGGGGCCAGGCCTCCCACCCTCTGCCTCACCCAGAAGAGGTCTCACTGACCTCATTCTTAGAACCCTCCTAAGCCATCCCAGCTTCTTATCCTACATAGTGGAGGGAGGAGGGAGCTCAGACACCCACATCAGCGTGTCCTGCCTAGAAGGGAGAGGTATGAAGCTGGACGTGAATATGCAGCGGCCAACTGGTATAAGCGCAGAGTCAAGCCTGGCTGTCCCCTCCACCCACCTCGGTCGAGTGTTACATGGAAGGTCGGCTCCAGGTGGACCCTCCCACCCTGTAGCCCAACATTGTGCAATAGTTGTCAGAGGTGAGAACATTCTGCAACTCATAATACATTTAAACAGTACATGACATCAAGTCCGCCCTCCACACCTTGACGTGGCTGACTTTACTCACTGATCACAGAAGCCAGAGCTAGTATAGTGGAGGCAGGAAGGAGACGGGCCCTGCCCTCACCAGCGTGTGTTACCAGCTCACCCATGGCCACTGAAAAACAGCCGTGGAATTAGATCAGAAATGTGAGAGGGTAACTATTAACAAGTTATAACAGAAAAGTAGAGATTTAAAGTAAAGAATGCAGGGGTATCCCTGTCGATTCAGTGGTTAAGACTGTGCTTCTGCTGTCTACACTTCTAATGCAGGTGGCGTGGATTCAATCCCTAGTCAAGGAACTAATATCCCACCAGCTGTTTGGCACAGTCAAAAAATAAAAAATAAAGAATGTAAACAAAGTTAGAAGGTAAGAACAGATGAAAACAAAGAAAGGGAAATGGCAGCCCAAACTTTAAAAATAAAAATTAAAGATTATAGATTTATGTTAAAATTATGAAAAATTAAAAAAATATGAAAAATGATAAAAGTTACAATTATAAAAAGGAAAGTTTTTTTTAAGTCACCTAAAAGTTTAGAAAAATGGAAGATAACAGGGAAATACATTTTAAATGGATTACAAAAGGTTAACGACCCTCTGAGGAACTTTTACCATCTTTCTATAAGTTGAAAATTATCTCAAAAAATTAACATAAAAAGTGAAACACTAACATGAATCTGGAGTGAAAATTCAAAGTAAAAAAATGAAACAATGTAAGGATTTAAATAAATATATGTACAATAAATCAATACAATAAATAAATATATAAAATGAATAAATAATACAATAAATAAATGTCTATTTAGATATGTTTTATTGCATATATTTTAATACATATATGTATTACATGTCTTTATATGTATGTATGTAATAAATAAATATATGTAATAAATCAAATAAACATGTAAAATAAATCAAAACACAGCTGAGATTTTAAGACTTTTTAAAATCTTTAATTTTAAAGGATTAAAATTATAAATTTTAAAGGCAGGAAGTAAAAGCAACTAGAACAGGGGAGTTTCAAATATGATAAATATAAAGTAGAAAATAAATAATATGAGATAATTAGATAATTTAAAAGGAAGATATCAAAGTAAAAGAAGACTCAAGTTACAGAGATAAAAATGTAAAACCTGGAATAATCCACCAGAGTAGCATGAATGAACCAAAGCAAAAGGGCATACTCAAAAATTCAGAAATTCAAGTTTATGAGTTATTTTAAGATAAAGAATAAAATATTCTTAGTAAAGATGAGGGCAGGGAATTCCCTGGCAGTCCAGTGGGACTCTGAGCTCTCATTGCTGGGGGCCGGGGTTCAATCCCTGGTCTAGATACTAAGATCCTGTAAGCAATGGGGCACAGGAAAAAAAGCCAATGAGGACAGAGTATGATTAGATGATTGTTTCTGATCCAAGAACATGGTTTGTCTCTCCATTAGGGTCATCTTTGATTTGTTTCATTGGTGTCATATGGTTTTCTGCACACAGGTCTCTTGTCTCCTAAGTTTATTTGTGGGTGTTTTACTCTCTTTGTTGCAATGGTAAAAGGGATTGCTTCCTTAATTTCTCTTTCTAATCTTTCATTGTTAGTGTATAGGAATGCAAGACTAAGAACAGAACAGGGAACTCGGCTTAATGCGCTGTGGTGTCCTGAGTGGGAAGGAAGACCGAAAGGGCGGGGATGAGTGTATACGCATAACTGACTCACCTTGCTGCATAGTAGGAACTAACACAGCATCGTCAGTCAACTGTGCTCCAATAAAAATTAATGTTAAGAAATTGTTTCTGGTGGGCTCTGTTGAGCTGCAGCTGAGTCTAGGCTCGGGCTTTTGGGGGAGGATATGCATTGCTGCTCATTAGCCCCAAATTCACACCTCCCACTGTGCCCGGTTAGGAACTTAGCCCAGCCCTCGGAATGCACACACAAGAGTTCTAAAGGGATCCAATGAGGTGAGTGGAAGCCCCACTCTGACCCGTAGTGGGGCCATCTGGCTCAGAGCTGGGGCGTCAGAACACCTGGGTATGATTGAGCAATCACGTTGCTTCTCTGCACCTCCTTTTCCTTACTGGCACTGCCCAACCAATGCCTTCCCTCTCTGTAAAAAACAAAAACAGGAAACCATCAAAGTACTGGTCAGCAGCATTTGCTCTATCATGAAGTAGAAAGAGCATTGGGCATAGAAGCAAATCAGGCCCCTTGAACCTGCCCGCCTGGTGGTTTTGGATGTGAACTGATGTGATGTTGGTCAATGAAAAGTGCACACATGCATGTTGATAATGCTTGGGCAGAGATACCCCTCCAGATGAGGCTGGGTACTCTACTTGTTGGAGAAGGGAAAGGAGAGGCAGAAATCTGCCTTCCATGAACTGGGGAGGGGCACCTCTGTCTCCCTGTCCCCGCCTCCCCTCGCCCCAGCACTTAGCCTGAGCACAGCCCATCTTTTTTCCCCAGGTGGGCCTTGAACCAGGATGGCTGAGCCCCGCCAGGAGTTCGACGTGATGGAAGATCATGCCCAGGGAGACTATGCCCTGCAAGACCATGAGGGCGACATGGACCCCGGCCTGAAAGGTTAGTGCACAGCTCTGCCTAGAGGGCCAGGAGCCCGGGAGATCACAGGCAGCCATACTGCTTTGGGAAGAGCTGGCAGGAAGTGTTTGCATCCTGATTTTTAAAGGAGTTTTAAATACTTTATTATTTTAGATTATCCATAGATTTGAAACCTCATTCATTTGAATGAACCAACAGAACTCAAAATGTGAGGCTATTTGAAAATCTGCCTTTGCAAAGGAGAGTTTGCCACAATGCATGGATGTATTGTGACAAAGACTGCAGGGGGCTTGTCAGTCTAATTAATACAAGGGCAATCTGTTGAGTCTTTAGCCACACCCATGAACCTATAAATCAGCAGAATTCATTAGCATGCAAAATACATAACTTTAGGGCCTTCCCTGGTGGTCCAGTGGCTAAGACTCCTTGTGCCCAGTGCAGAGGGCCTGAGTTTGATCCCTGGTCAGGTAACTAGATCCCACGTGCACAACTAAGACCTGGCACAGCCAAATAAATAAATAAAAATAAATAAATATATATTTTAAAATGCATGACTTTATACATTTTTTTTCCTCTTCCTTAATAGGCCTGTAAGGTCCCTATTTGGCGAGAGTTGATTAGCTCTGGGTTTCCTATTGTTGTACCTATAGCACTAAACCACATCAACTTCTAAATGTTCTATAATACAGTCTTTTGGCTAAAGTGGCTTGGCCTCTTCTCTGCCTCTCATCCCCACCTAGTTTGGGGAGCCCCGTGGGGCACACAGCGCCCTCTTTCTGGCTCTGACTGCCAATCCCCACGTTGGTGCGAGGAGCAGCAGGCTGGCCCGTGGAGCAGTGGTTGTGCTGCAAGGAACCCTTCTCCCACAGTGTCCCTGGGGGCCAGTGCTCCCTGGAGCAGCCCTCAGAGCGGGATAAGAAAGACTAGGTCCCTGTCCTCCAAACCCATTTCTAAGGAGACAAAATGGCAGTCGACTTTTCTCTTTAAATGCTGCAAGTAATAAAAACACTTCGCAGCCTGGGGCGTGAGGTGGCGGATGGACGTGGTGGAGTTCCAAGGTGGGAGGGAACCTCTTCCTGGTACATCCATCGGAGAAGTGTCCTTGGAAGAGGCAGGGTCACCAGGAGGAGCCCTGGGTTGGGGAAGCATGCAGAGCTATCATTCCCACATTGGAGATGTTTCAGGACTCACTGGGGACCCTTGTTTCAAAGGCTGACTTCTCTGTACCTGTTTAAGCAGAGAACACACAAGAGGCAGAGCTTGGGAATCAGACAAATGGGCTCCAAGTTGGGGGAGGTGAGGGAAGGCATGGACTGTCCTGGGAGCTCAGAGTCTGCCCTCTGACCTTCTTGGGAGCCCCCAGCCTGAAGCTCTGGGTGAGGGGCATGGAGGGGAACATGCCTGCTCCACCTAGAGGTCCCAATCGGCCCAAATCTCCCTTCCCAGTGTCAGTAAGTAATTCTTGCCACCATTTGCTTCCTGCTTCATTAGCAGTATTGCTGCTTTCACTTTCGAGTGTCCTGATTTGGGTGGTAAAGAATATAACTACTCAGGTGGGAGGTGGGATTGGGATGGGGAATACATGTAAATCCATGGCTGATTCATGTCAATGTATGACAAAAACCACTACAATATTGTAAAGTAATTAGCCTCCAACTAATAAAAATAAATGAAAAAAAAGAAAAAGAATATAACTACTCTACTTCTGGGGCTTCCTGGGTGGCTTGAGTGGTAAAGAATCTGCCTGCCAGTGCAGGAGACATGGGTTCGATCCCTGGGTCAGGAAGATCCTCTGGAGGAGGAAATGGCAACCCACTCCAGTATTCTTGCCTGGAGACTCCCACGGACAGGAGAGCCTGGCAGGCTGCAGTCCATGGAGTCGCAAAGAATCGGACAGGACTGAGCCCAAGCGCAAGTGCCCTGCTTATAATGGGACTTGCTTAAAAGGACGGTTCAGACATTTCTATAGAACTCTAAAAAGCTGGCAAAGGGCTTCGGCCAACAGCGTCTCACGCGCTGCTCACAGTAACCAGTGAGGACGGAGGTTACCTTCCCTAGTTAACAGATGACAATTTCCTTTCTGAGGTCACGGGGTAGTACAGCCTTCCACTCCACATCAGCTGTTTCTGCCTCTGGTCACTCTCAGCCAAGTCCGCCTGGGACTTCAGTTACTGAAGTCTTCATGTGTGCGAAGTCGCCTTCAGTCATGTCCAGTTCTTTTCGATCCCGTGGACTGTAGTCCACCAGGTTCCTCTATCCATGGAATTCTCCAGGCAAGCATACTAGAGTGGGCTACTATTTCCTTCTCCAGGGAATCTTCCTGACCCAAGGACTGAACTTGCATCTCTTAAGTCTCCTGCATCGGCAGGCGGGTTCTTTACCGCTAATGTGGGAGAGCATACAACTTAGGATCCTAACATATTGAATTCTGCCCCAGGTGAATTAATTGTGCCAGTGAAAAAATGATGCTCTGTTTAGGGTAACCTGGTTTAAAAATTAAGTTGAAAAATATATATCATGTTGAAATAAATATACCATAATAATGTAGGATGTTAATAACTAGGGAAACTGGCAATGGGGTATCCTCTGGTCTATCTTTGCAATTTTTCTGTAAATCTAATAATTCAATTTATAAAGTAAGAACAAGTTTACCAAGTTATTTTGTGCCTTAGAGGTGCTTAAGTACGGTTGCTGAAATTCCCCAGTTCTTTTAACATAAAACATCATTGGAAGTTCTATGATAAAACAGGTATATGTGTAAATATATAATATATATATGCAGATTTTAAGTTGCTAACTTTTTTGTCACTGTTGTGAAAGTGTTTGAAGATAGTTTAAACAAACTTACCCAAACAATATACTTGCCAAGAAAGCAAGTGATACCTAAGAGATTTTCAGAGTTCTCCTCAAATTTGTTCTGGCTACTAAGGATTTAGAATGAATTATTTTTATATGGAGAGTGAAAGGTGTGACTTGACAGAAGGTGTCACTTTATAAGCAACATTTCAGATAGGTGACAGAGACTTTTTTGAATAATGACAAGAAACCACATGTAAAATACTAGAACAGAGAGCATCTGAGTAGATGCTAAAAGCTGGAATAGGATTAGATGGAGCCAAAGAGAGCTGCAAAGTGGGTGAAAGTTGGTTTACTCATGAAACAGTGTACCTGCATGAATTAAAAGGTGTTAATGAGTTAACTTGTTAGACCTTCCAACTAAGACAGTCAGAAGAGGCTTCTTCCATCTTTCCTCCCTCCATCCAAAAAATTTAACATGGATAATGCGGATGATCACAGTGGCAGGCTGGGGATGGACTGGGGGAGGGGTGTTTGGGGGGCAAGGGTTTGAGGCACCATCACACCCATAGACTCCTATGCTTTGGCAGTCAAGGCTGGTGGGTAATAAGATCCAGCAGACAAAACCAAAACCGCCATGAGATACCACTTCATATTTACTAAGATGGCTATAACTTTAAAAATGGGAATAACAAGTGTTGGTGAGGATGTGGAGAAATTGTACCTCTTGTATCTTGCAGGTAGGAGTATAAAATGATGCAGCAGGTGTGGCAGACAGTTTGGTGGTTTTCTAAAAAATTGCACATAGAACTACCACACGATCCAGCAATTTCACTCCTAAGGATATATCCAACAGGATTGAAACGAGGAACTAGAACAGATATTTGTACACCAATGTTCATAGCAGCATTATTCAAAATAGCCAAAAGGCTGGAACAATCCAAGTGTCCATCAATGGTTGAATGGATAAACAAAAGATGGTATATACATCAACCAGGAAAAGAAATGACACTGTGATAGATGCTACATGGATGGACCCTGAAAATATTATGCTTTGTGAAATAAGCCAGATATAAAAGGACAAATGTTGTACAGTTTTATAGGGTATCTAGAAGAGGCAAATTCATAGAGACAGGAAGTAGATAGAGGCTTCCAGGGGTTGGGAGGGAGGGAGAGAGGGCGAGTTATTGCCTAATAGGTACAGAGTTTTGTTGGGGAAGATGAACAAGTGTTAGATATAGATAGTGGTGATGGTTACACAGCATGGTGAATGGACTTAATGCCACTGAATTGTGGTTAAAGTGATAGATGTGAAGTTGTGATTTTATACCAATAAAAGAATCTCAGCTCACACACACACAGTAAGACCCAGCAGACAGTCTGCGTGATGATCCTTCACCATGTCCAAAGCCTGCTTGAGGGAGTTGGCAGGTTTTCCCAAGCTTCAGGACTGGAAGCTTCTTTAGAATCAGTCCTTCTTTGGCTGGATCAGTGAAGCCAAAAGGTGGGTGTCCAGGGATGACATTCCAGCAGGGGGTTCGAGATGTCTGATCTCAAAGTGTACTAAAACACCACTTGCCTCTTTTTATCTCTGGGGTCTGCTTCGTGCAGAACCAGTTCCCTGTCCTCTACCTCCAAGGCTTCTCAACCCCCGCCCCTACTTCCCTGCCAGGTAGCGTGGCTTTTGCAGAGTCCATCAGAGGTCCCCTGGCTTTGGATTCTGATTGGGCAGTTTTCCCATAAATAGTAATGACTGACATTTCAGGTATAACTCAAGGTTTGTTGGGCAGGACTGGGAGACACAGCCCAATGTCCGGTTAGAAGTAGGTCCTGTGTCTCCCCTGAGCTAATTTCTCTGCAGAGGAAGCAGTTCGATTTCTGAGTGTTTTCCCAGGTGTTTACTTGTCATGAATTCATGGCAATGATCTCCTGTGAGCCTCTCCAGTAAGGAAAGACAAAGCCCCAAATTTACTTGTGGCTTAGCTCACTGGTGTCTGCTGCCCATTTGTCAATATCAGAGCCTTTGTCTCAGTTGGAACCACAAGCTAATTAAAAGGCAATTTCTCTTCTTGCCCCCAAACACGTAAACATCACGTGCCTCTTTCCTGATGACCCTGGTGTGGGGGCCCAGTTGTGGGGTGGGAGTGGGGTTGGTCCCCTTCGTGGTTTTACCACGAGACCACAGTCCGTTTATCTGGGGTCCATACTGGGTGATTTCGGCTCCAAAAGGCACTGTTCCCCAGTTCCTCTGAGGTCGAAATTGGGGTGGAGCGAGGCAGCCATTCTGAGGGGTTCATTGTGTATGTTCCAGAGTCTCCCCTGCAGACCCCGGCCGATGATGGATCTGAGGAACCAGGCTCTGAAACCTCTGATGCTAAGAGTACTCCGACGGCGGAAGGTGGGGCCCCCCTCCTCTCACGGCTTCATTCAAACAGCTCATCCATGCTCCAACCTGCGCTTAGCCACGCTTTGAGCTCACACGTGCCAGCTCATACGTGCCACCCTTCCTGGCTGCACTTGCCGCTGCCTCTGGCTGAGAGATATGCCTGCTCAGTGCTTTGCAGATGGGGCTTGGGCCCCAAATGTTGTGGGAGCCATGCGCTGTCTTCATGCCTTGCTCGCTAGTGCCAGGGAGGGGCAGCTTCGTCATGCGTGAGCTTTGAGGCAGCCACACTTGAACAGGCTGGGATCTGTGGCACAGCAGGGCCTGATCTCAGCTCCACAAAGCCCCTGCTCCTTGTCCATTGCCCTCTCTACACTTCTCCCATGAGCCACCAGGTCCCCGAGCAGTGGTTTGGTTCAGGAAAGGGCAGGTCAGAGCACATCTCCAAGCTCACCCTTTGGGACTGCTCTTGGTTTAGTATTCTTCATTTCCTGAGCTGAGCCTGGGCCTCTGGACTTTGGCCATGGTGTTAGCTCCAGCCCATCTTTTCTAACCCGTCCTCTGTAGACACTTGATATCTAGGTTATTATTGTAAAGCTTCTGATGTATTTCCTGAGGTGTTCCTTGGACCATCTTCTCTTGCTTCCCATCCATATCAGTCAAGACTATGTTTGAGGAACTTCCCTGGTGGTCCAGTTGTAAAAATTCTGCCTGCCAATGCAGGGGACATGGGTTCGATCCCTGGTCTGGAAAGATCCCATGCAGGACAACTAAGCCTGTGTGCCACAAGTACTGAAGCCCCCACGCTTCAGGGCCCATGAGCCGCAACAAGAGAAGCTACCATAATGAGAAGCCCGTGCACTGCAATTCGAGAGTAGCCCTGGCTCACAGCAACTAGAAAAAGCCCCCATGCATCAAGGAAGACCCAGCACAGCCAACAAAAGAAAGACTATGTTTGATCACAAGTAACAGAAAACCCAACTAACTGTGGCATATATATGAAGAGGTTCATTTGTCTCACATAATAAAACATCTGGACTCGAGTAGCAGCTCCTCAGTGTCATCATTGCTCTTCTGTCTTTATCTTCTGCCATCTTTTATGGCTGGATTATGGCCTCACAGTTACAGAATGACTGCTGCACCTCCAGGCATGACATCTACCTTCAAAGCAAGGAGAAAGTAGCAAAGCAAAGTGACCAAAAGAGCCCGGAAACCAAATATGTTCCCTTTTTATTAGCAAAGCAAGAGTTTTTCTACATGCCCCACCTGCCAACTTCCATTTATGTCCCATTGGCTGGAACTGGGTTTTCTGATGCCCTCTGGCTGTAAGGGAGGCTGAAACATTGAGAATTGTGCCTTTCAGCTTCCTTCGTAGGAAAAATCAAGGGAGAGGGGCATTGTGAATGGCTTTTGAGTAACTAGTCTGCAGAGTATGCCCCTCCATCTCTCTGTCCTCTCCAAGGTTCCAGCACTTCCCTGGGCCCTGCCCATGACTTTGGTGAGAACCTGGCCCCAGCATCTCCCCAGGCGTCCACCTTTGGATGAATTCAGAAAGTGGCTGTCAAGTTCCTTGCCAATTGATGGTATAAGGATATAGTGGATGTGGCCACTCCCCTCCTTGCCCTCCCCGCCACCTCCAAGGTTCTCAGCCTACTACTGAAGAGAAAACCAGACCAAATGCTCCTTGCTTTCCTTCTTAGAACCAGTGATGCAAGACCTAGCCTGCTGTTCCCGTTCAGACAGTTTTACAGGTTGCCTAGTGCCCTGAGAAAGTCCCAAAGCACTCATGCCAGATTTTAGGCCAGCCTTCCAAGTCTAATTTATTCTGGAAGAATCTTCCCACCACGTCTTGCTACATTCTGGACCCTGTCCGTGTGAGGGTCCCAAGAGCTTCAACTCTCATGGCTTGGGGAATGGCGGGGAGCTGCTGAGGTGGAGCTCTGCCAGGCTGCTTCCGAGACGACCACAATAAAAAGGGCTCCAATTGACGAACCTGACTCAGGCTCTTGGAAAGCGTTTAAAGCTGACACCTCCTCCTGTTTGCCCAGAACGGTTTGGTAGTATGCCAGCACATTGCTCAGAGAGGAATGCCGATCTGGAAGTGTTCACCTTGATGAGAGACCGACAGCAACTCCTAGTGGTGAATCTTTCCCTCTGGCCTTTGCTCTGAAGGTGGATCCATCTGTCGGCCTGTTGTCAAGCACCTGACCTCAGACAGAGCAGGCCTCTTCATTGCCACCCAGGGTAGTCTGTGCTTTATAACCAAGGGTCATGGGCTCCAGCAGACAGGGGAATCGATGTTCTTCAGTTGCTCAGTTGTGTCTGACTCTCTGTGACCCCACGGACTGCAGCACGCCAGGCTTCCCTGTCCTTTATCTCCTAGAGCTTGCTCAGACTCATGTCCATTGAGTCAATGATGCCATCCAACCATCTCATCCTTCTCCTCCTGCCTTCAATCTTTCCCACCATCAGAGTCTTTTCTAATGAGTCGACTCTTTGCATCAGGTGGACAAATTATTGGAGCTTCAGTTTCAGCATAAGTCTTTCCAATGAATATTCAGGGTTGATTTCCTTTAGGATTCACTGGTTTGATCTCCTTGCTGTCCAAAGGACCCTCAAGAGTCTTCTCCAACACCACAGTTCAAAAGCATCAATTCTTCAGTGCTCATCCTTCTTTATGGTCCAACTCTACATCCATACATGACTACTGGGGGATTAGAACTGGAAGAAAACTTGAAGGTCAAGGCACCTCCCATTTTGCAGATGAGGAAACTGAGACCCTAAGAGAACAAAGGACTTGCCCAAAGCCGGTCTCCCAACAGAACCATAGCCTCCAGCCCTGACTGCAGAGTTTGCCTTCTCCTGTTCTGCACTGCTGTAAGGATCAAACATCTGTGAGCAGTCACCTGATTTTCAACGTTTCTTCCTTAAAAATACTGGTGACCATCCCCAGCAGTCCTTTTTGCTGCAGTGTTTAGAGGTGGGCTGTTCTGGCTTTCCTGGTAGAGGGCCTGGTTGTCTCATAAGTGGTTGCCTCTTGGACAGAGTATTCATGTTTTCCTGGGGAGATGTCAGGCGGGAGCACGGCTCTGGGCCCTGCTCTGTGGGGTTGCTTTTTTGCATGCGGCTGAGTCCCCTTCCTGCCTCCCCATTCCTGCACCTTTGCATCCCCAAAGAGCACAAGGTGAGGCGCGTGGCGTGGCCCATCCCAGCCTCTAAGGTGGTTTCCACTCTTGGTGGTTTCCAGATGTGACAGCACCCATAGTGGATGAGGGAGCCCCCGGTGAGCAGGCAGCCGCTCAGGCCCCCACGGAGATCCCAGAAGGAACCACAGGTGAGGGTGACTCCCAGGGCCCAACTGTAGGATGGGAGCAGGTGGGGTTCTGCCCATCTCCAAATGAGGTGGGGATGCGGGTGGATGCCAGACTCCCGAAATCTCGGGTTGTTCTGAGCTTGATGCCCTGTTGCCTCCATGGCTGCCTGCCCATCTCCTGGAGGATAGAGAACCTTCTGGATTCCTTCCAGCCTCTCCTCTCCTTGTCTTAGCTCCGCAGAGTTCTTGGAGGCAGGCTGGTGGCCGAGGTCAGTCCACGGTCCTGCTGGGACTCTGCCCAGCGACAGGGTCACTTCCTGGGGGGTAAACAGCTCCCTGGGGGGAGCACCTGAATGTGTCACAGCATCCGGATGGCCCACCCACATCTTTGGAAGATCGTAACTGGATAACCCCCAGGAACTCAGTGATGCACTCTAGCATCCAATTTTAGTACGATCTTTTCAAACATATCAGCATAGAACAGACGTGACGAGACTGTCCTGTCAACATCGATGATGGGGAGCAGCCCAGACGGGGCACTGACCAGAAATAGCACTGAACTCAGGACCGCCAGAGTCACCGTGAGCTGCCCAGGCCCTTAGGAAACGGCGAGCAGAGCCCGGAGCTCTGGCTGTCACTTCCTTCACGTTCACCTCCCTGGGCTACACATGACTCCAGCCATTGGCTTGGCGATGCGGACGGTGCTCAGCAAGAAATGCAGGACGAGCTCTGGATGGTGTTTCAGCAGCAGTGGAGAGTGGGGAAATGTCCCCCGGCAGGAGTTCTTTTCCTTCCTGAAGGTGGGGCTCAGTGGCAGCCGTTTGGGAAGTCTGCAGCCTTGTCCCCAGCCGTTTGGGTTAAGGATGCCGGGCAGGGGCCAAGCAGCGCCACCCGCTCCTCCAAGTAGCTTCCACTCCGCAAGCTGCTCTCCAGAGATGAATGGAGGGGGATGTTCTGGATACTGACAGGCCTCGTCCTTGACAGTGAAGGTTGTTTGAAGGCCATGGAACCAACAACTCATGGGATGAGATCACGGGTAGCTTGACTTTTGTCTCTCACTGTCCCTTTATAACTTTTCAGTGGGTGAAGCTCTTCTTCTGCCTGGGACAAAAACTCTAGGGAACTCTTGACTTTCCATCACTCCTGGGTTATCAAGTGTTTTAGTCTCCACCGACACACAACCCAGGCTACAAATGCTGATGAGAATGTGCAGTCTGGGACGTCCCTGGTGATCAGTGACTAAGAAACCCCCCTGCCAATGCAGGAGACACAGTTCGACCCCTGCTCTGGGGAGATTCCCATGTGCCTCGAAGCAACTAAGCCCATGCCCTGTGCTCTAGAGCCGCAACTGCTGAGCTCTGCAGCAGGAGGAGCCACAACAATGAGAAGCCCAAGCTCCACAATGAGAGAGTAGCCCCCCGCCCCCGCCACAACTAGCGAAAACCCACATGCAGCAACGAAGACCCAGAGCAGCCAAAAAATAACCAATTAATTTTTAAAACAGGAGTGTCCAGTCAGGGTAACACTCAAAGCTGCAGGTCCTCCTCTCTGGGACTGGACAGGGGCAAGAACTGGGAGAGGGACGGGGACGTTGTTCCTGCATTGGGGCTGCTGTGAGCTGGCTCCATGCAGTTTCTGCAGGTGTTGCAAGTTGAGTCTTTCCCTGTGGGTTTTTTTGAATTCTTCCAAATGCTTCTCTCCCGCACCATCCCCATCATCCTCCTGAAGTTCCCTCCCTCTGCTCTCGATTCCAGCAGACGTTCCTCTTTCTTCGGTCCCTTGGGGTCTGAAGATCCGTCTCATCTCTCCTCTGCCAGAGTTGGCTTGCTCACATCGGTGGCCCTGCTGGGCATGGCCTGAGGTGCCCCCTCCACTGTGACTGCCCTGTGCCCACCACAGGTCCACGGGGGACATGGGTGTTCCTTGTCTGAACAAACCACGCATATGCAGACAGCCCACGGACTTTGCTTCGCCACAAACACAGGGCCAGCCTGCCTGTCCTCCTTGAGTTTTCCCAGGTGGAGTTCTGACAGCCATCCACCATGTCCCTAATCCTAGGGGACACACACCACCTGTTTCCACCTGGTGCCTTGAAACTCTTTCAGTGGGACTGAGATGGGAGGCGGACAGGTAGCCACCATCCCACCTGCCCTAAGCTGCTCTCTCTAAAGAAATCCTTCTTAAAAATTCTCTCCCCTCCGCCCTTTTACATCCTGAATGAAGTTCAGCGAGGTTTTAGAGTTCAGGGGACATTTTTTCGGCTGGTGGCTTTAACAATGTGTGCCTTAGTTTCCGGCTTCCCTGGTGGCTCAAATGGTAAAGAATCTGCCTGCAGTGTGGGAGACCCAGGTTCAGTCCCTGGGTTGGGAAGATCCCCTGGAGAAGGCAATGGTTACCCACTGCAGTATTTTTGCCTGGAGAATTCCATGGACAGAAGAGCCTGGTGGGTTACAGTCTATGGGGTCGCAAATAGTCAGACACGACTGAGCGACTAACACGCCTTAGTCGAGCACCTCACTTGGGCATGTGTCTTTGTTGTATCTTGGTTTTCCTGTGAAACTTCCCATTTGAGGTCCATTTGGGAGTGCAGTGTGGCCATCCCCCTGCAGGTGTCCCTGCCTTGCAGGGTGAGCATGGAGCCCTCTTGGGGCCCCAGGGAGGCAGAGAAACCATATAGGCTGGTGATGGCCCAACCACTGGCTCATACCCTCCCTCTCTCTGGCTTCTCTGAGCATCTCTCTTGCTGGGATCAAGGGGTGTCAGAGATACCAGCAGCCTGCAGTTTCTAATTCACATCAGGACCAGGGATCACGACACCGCGTAGGTATGTGAAAGCGATGGGCTTCCCAGAGCCACGGCAGTGACGTCATTGGCACGCCCCCTTGTGTCCTGTCTTCAGGACTCCATTCCATGTAGCTGGATTTGCTGACTTGCTGTCTCCCTGGACCTTCCTTCTATAACCTTGTCAGAAACTCAGACCAAATCTATGCTCAGAGCAGTGCTTCGCTGACAGACATCTTTTGTCAAGTGACATGGAGCTATCACCATTAGACCTCACAGACTGTGTACAGCATCAGCGTGTAGGACACCCAGAGGTGTTCCTGCCTAGGAACTGCCTTTAGGGAAGCTGCCCGAGCCCACTGCCAGCCCCCTGCCCCTCGCCCAGCAGCCCTGGGCCAGCCAGTGGGCTGGGTGTCTTATCAGGCCATCATACATCTGTCCAGCAACCCAGAGAGTCTTTCCTTTGCCTCCTCCATGCTCTCTGTGGTGGGCCTGCATGGCAAGTGGGGCTAACTTGGCATTTCTGATTTAGTTGTAGAGCCTAAGTCATCTCAGGTCTGGGAGGAAAACACTGGTGGCCCAACCAGGTGGGCATTTCAGGCTGGTGGCCTCCCTGTCCCTGTCCATCAGGGCATGTTGGCCCTCCTGGGGTGTGGGGTCACACCCATGTCAGTGTGTGGCCAACTTGCCCTAGAGGGTCTTTCTTCTGGACAGTCATACCCTTTGTCCTGCAGTGATATCCCCATTTCTTCATGATGCAGAAATTGGCGTTGTATGAAAGCTTACCGACTTTGGTACCATTGATGGCATGATCAGGAGTTTGTCTCAGTCTTTTTTTGTTTGGGAGAGACAGTGGGCTCCCTAGGTGGGAGCCCAAGATACCCCCATGCTCACTGACACTACCACCCCCCCTTTAATCAGATGGCACCTATTCTTAGCAGGCAGTTGAAAGGGTTTGCCCAGTAGTTTGGAGGAAAGAAACTGAACCTCTAGGGGGCTCCTACCATGTACCAGACACTTTGATGAACGCATGCACACAGTTTCGTATGAACCCTCACTGATCTCCTACAAGACAGGCTGGTGTTATCACTTTGGGGTGCTAGAGTTGGAAACTAAAGCTCAGAGAGGCTAAGTAATGGTGGCACCTGAGCTTGAACCCCAGCCGGACTCCGCAGCCCACACACCTAGTCCTTCCTGCACCTTTGGCTCCCCCAGGAGCGCTGGCGGGGCTGGGAGGGCGGCCTCCACCAGGACACAGCTCCACAGCAGTGGCTGAGCGCTAGAGAGCTTCTCCAGCCTCACCTGTCCTGTGTCTTTGTCGCGCGGGGGATTGAGGACCCAGGGCCCGCTACGGGGAAGGTCTTTCCTACTGGACTTGTTGCCTGAAGGTGTGTGGGCATGGGGTGGAGGGAGTGTTTCGTGGACTGTTTTCATCCACATCTCCAGCGGTCAGGTTTGCAGAAAGAGCCAGAGGTCCAGCGCTTCAGGAACCTGTTGGGAGGGGCAGGGAGCTCTGTTTCTAGCAAACAATAACTGTGTCTGCTTTTTATCCTCTTCATTTGCTGACACACAAACCAGCTGAAGAAGCAGGCATTGGTGACACCTCCAACCTGGAAGACCAAGCTGCAGGACACGCGACCCAAGGTCAGCGGACTAGTATTGCCTGCCACGCATGACGTGGACGGTTGGGAAGAGAGGGTGGCAACACTTAAATGGACCGTACCCTGAGATGAAAATTTGGACCTGGGCCTTAATTCCAGGGTCCAGATCTTTAGGAGCTGTTTTTTCATCGAAGGTGGGATATTCAGGTAGAGAAAGAGCTTTAGCTCTTTCTAGTCATTTCTGAATCCTTCCCAGTGTGTTTGTTGTTCCGAAAGAAGTTGGCCTTTGCCAGCTTGGGGACTCGAGAATCAGTGACCAACAGAAACATATATGTGTCTGATGAGTCAGTCTCCCTGTAGGCGGCCCTCTGGCCCATCCCAGGAGCAAAGCCTCAACTCTATCGCCACCAAACTATTTCCTCTGTGCAGCCTTCAAGTTTTATTGTGATTTTCATCTCAGGGACCAAAATTACTGTGCTCAAGAAAAACAACTTCATATTATCACTGAGCTTAAATGTTTTTAAGAACTTAAATTGTAAATCCTAGAGATTCCTTATCTTTGGAAATGGAGACCTCCAATACAACCCCGCTGAATTTTGTTTTCTGTCATTGGCTGCATAAATGAACTCGAGAATCTGCTGTATAGTGTGGAAGCTTTTAGACTGTAAGAGAGCTGGGAAGTCACTGGTCTTTTCCCCACAAAGTGATTTGGGATTTGTTCGGTGTTTAGTGCTGCCACTGGGCCATCTGGCTTTAGGGAGACTCTGGGCCCTGAAGAAATGTCTCCCTGAGGGTGCTTTGAAGCCTAACTACACGTTTCTGTCTCCCAGGGCTCCCTGCCCCACAGTGCGCTGGTGTCTCTCGTCTCACACAGCATGGAAAGACGTGTTTACACGTCATTCTTAGGTTTACAAAGAGCTTCAAAAAAATATTAGAAGCGATAATCATTATAAATGGGGAATCTCAGTCTATGTGTTAAATAACTAGAATCTTGCCTCCTATTTCTTTTAGGTCATGATTTCTAGCTTTTAGGTAAAATGAGAGGTTTTTATAACCTCTGGAAATGACCATCTATTTCCATAACAAGAAGTGAATTTGAATTTTTCTTACAAATTTTTATTGTAGGCTATGTCTCCATGTCCCTGAAAGATATTCCGTGGAGCAAAAAGATCAGGCCAACAGCTTTCCTAGAAACCTTACTTTGGGGCTAACTAAATTTTTAACTTTCCCAGCACTGGCTTAGAATCATAGAGCTATATAGACCAACACCAGGTAGCATCTGCAATGGAACATTGGCACCAAATCTGTGAATATGTGGCGGTTTCTACGTCTGTGCTGCCCAGGCCAGTGTTTAATGTCTCATCTGGAGCTGCTGATCCAAATGGCCAAGCCCAGCTCCCTCCAGCGGGGCCTTGGGAAATCCAGACACTCTGGAGATCCACAAACATGTTTCATTGCCACAGACCAGCAGTCTGCTTTGTGCTAAAGCAATCAGATTTAGGAAGAACCATGGACACAGAAGCACAGCTATTCTCTCTTCCTTATTTTCCGGCGGCAGAAGGAAAACCTCTGGCAGCCTGTGTTCATGAAGGACTAAGACAGCAAAGATGTTTCAGGATGGAGCTGCGAGGGGCCGAGAGGAGCAGGGTGTGGAGAGGGCCCTGCCCACCCCACACCCTGCTCACACCAGGAGTGGACCTTTCTTCTGGGAGTGTCACCAGGACCAGGCCTCCCAGGGAGCATGGGGACACAGTTCATCTGCACTCCTGAGACCACCCAACTGTGTTTCCCCAAATCTTGCTTACCTTGGACCCACCCCCTGTGATTACTACCTTTAGTATTGGCTTGAAAAATACTGGATATTTTTCACGATATCCATAAGATAGTATGAAAGAACCCAAATAAACTTTTTGGCCAACTCAGTAGCTATTGAGCACTTTTCAGACTTCTGGGAGCTGAATAGAATGTTCTCCCAGCCCAGCTCTTTCCTTCAGGAGAGTAATAGCATGATGGCAGGTTCCTCACACACACACACACATACACACATACATACATGCTGTACTATCCTATATTGATAACTTTTCAGGGTATGTTTAATACACAGGTTTGGGGCCCTGGTCTCTTTTTCAGTGAGGGTCTTTTAAAGTCTTGTGGTGTAACAGTAACATCCATATCAGAAGCAATTTCTAGGGAGCTCTGGGAGGAAAGATTTTTCCAGAAAGTGCTGGAGACCTGGCCTGATGAGAGGTGTAGGGACCAGCAGCTGCTGCCACTTCTGGTCTGTTGAGCGGTGGGTTGGGAACACGTTGGGGTGAGGAGGCAGTTGCTCAGGTTGCCTCCTGCCAGCTGGCTTCTTGCATCTCCGTCATTTGGTCTGTTCATCCCCAAGACTCACCAAGGGCCCCAGAGAGTCTCCTGCAGACCCCGCGGAAGGCAGAAATCAGCTCGTTTCCCTGATGACATCATGTGTTGATCTGGCTACATGGCAGACTCTGGGGCTATGCTAGGAACACAAGATAACTGAGACCATGAGCTCGAGGCCCCGGCACAGGGGTGGGAGGTGAGAGAGCTGGCCTCTTGATAAGGGGCTGCCCCGCAGCTCCACAGACTCCGACTAGAGCTGGAACCAGAGGGACCATCATGTATTAGCCATGTGTGTGGACCCCTGTGTTCTCCCACCTCCCGCCCCTCCCCTCATCCAGCCTCTCTCTTCCAAGACCCTCAATCCTTTGGGGTTCCAGGGTTTATTTAGAGGAGAGCTGCAAAGTTGTCCTGGAACTAGGTAGGATGTTTGAAGAGTTGGGAGTTAGAAAAAAATACAGGATATTAGGAAAACAGGATATTAGGAGAACCAACAGGAAAAAAATCGCCTGTCCTCAATACACAGATATTTTAAGGAGGGACTCACGTGAATGTGGGGCTTCCCTGGGGGCTCAGATGGTTAAGAATCTGCCTGCAATGCAGAAGACCCAGGTTTGATCCCTGGGTCAGGAAGATCCCTTGGAGAAGGAAATGGCTACCCACTCCAGTATTCTTGCCTGGAGAAGTCCATGGACAGAGGAGCCTAGTAGGCTACAGTCCATGGGGTCACAAAAAGTCAGACACGATTGAGCGACTAACACTTCACGTGAATGGGGCATGAATGAAGCAGAAAAAAAGGGAAGTGTGCCCTCCATCCACTTGGCTGGCAGGCGGGAGGTGCTGTGACAGGGGTGAAGGGCTGGCCCCGCAGGGCTGGCCACGTCTGTGCCGTGCAGACCACCTTAACTGCCACGGTGGTCACCTCACCTCGTGCGGAAGGCTGTTCACAGTCCACAATCTGGACAAACCTGAGCCGTGTTTCTGTTTGTAGAGGTCTCCTGGCAGGTCAGTTAGTAGACTGAGCCCTGATTATGACGCATTTGGGGTTTTCCAAATCTATCAGGGTGGGTTTATAGGTACTTGCTGGTTTTATTGAGCCAAAAGGGGGGCCAGAGAGAGAAGGAGAGGAAAGGAGACCCTCCCTGTACCCCAGCCAGGTCCCAGCTTCAGGCCAGAGTCTTCAGGAGGCTCACAGTCCCTGGAGAGGAGGACAAGTTTCTGCAGCTGGTGGAGTTAGCCTAAGGCAGCCCCGGATATGGCAGAATGCTCGGAGCCCAACCAGACCCAACACAGGCCGAGGACTAAGACCAGCAGTAGACGGGGTCTTGGTCTAAGCTCTCCTTTTACACATAAGAAAACTGAGGCTCAAAGACAGGAGGTGCTCACCCACGGTCACCCAGCTCATTATTGGCAGATTGACCAAGAGCTTTTTCATTCTGAGCAAAGAAAAGCAAGATGGGTGAGCTCTGAGCATGGGCTCCTTATCCTTTGTTAGGTGGGCTTGAGATGCTGTTTAAACGTCCTTTTTTTCTTTCAAACATACATCCCTCTCTTAAAAACACTTAACTTGCTCTTGCTAACTTTTTGCCGCTGCTGCCTCTTCAAACCCAGAGGACAAGAGAGTTCCAGGCCAGCAGAGGGAAGCGTCTGAGAGGCCTCTGGCCCATGGGCTTAGCTCTCAGGTCCAGCTTGCACACGGCCAAGAAGCTTCTGGGGTCTCCGAGCTGCCTCTGGGGGAGAAAGAGCCCGAAGCTCCCGTCCTGGTGACCTCTCGCCCTTCCCAGCATCACCCCATCTGCCAAGCACCTCCTCCACCAGGAGGCCCTCAGGAGCCCCACTGGGAGTGGGGACCAAAACCAGGGCAGCGGGCTGAGGAGGGCCTGGCCTTTCCGAAGCCCCCCTCCCCTGGACATCAGCAGACAGGGCCTGGGAGTGCCAAGGTTGTCCAGGAAACCTTACTCGGGGAGCCGGGCCACCATGGAGGTGAGGCTGTGGAGCCAGGGACCTCAGGTCTGACCCACCAGCACGCATCTGACATGCTCGGGGCCCCCACCCTGCTCGCAGGCCCCAGAGAGGCCTCACGCCAGCCTTCAGGGACAGAACTTGAGGTTGCAGAGGGCAGCCGCCGCAGCTCCGAGCCGCCAGAGTGCCAGCTTTGGGGAGGCCTGCCCCAGGAGGGGCCGCCTCTGAAGGGGGCACAGGGCAAAGAGAGGCAGAGGGGTGAGGAGGTGGATGAAGACCGGGACATTGATGAGTCCTCGCCCCAGGACTCCCCGCCCTCCCAGGTCTCCCCGACCCGAGGCGGGACAGCCCCGCAGGCAGTTTCCGGAGAAGCCCCTGGAACTCCAGGGTCCCCAGCAGGGGGTGCCATCCCGCTTCCTGTCGATTTCCTCTCTAAAGCATCTGCAGAGACCCGGGTCCCGGAGCCCGACGGGCCCAGCGAGGGGTCCCCGGGAGAAGGGCGCGGCGGGTCCCCCGAGTTCACATTCCACGTGGAAATCACAGCCAACCTGCAGAAGGAGCAGGGACCCCCCTCGGAGGTGGATTTGGAAGGGACTGCACTTCCCGGGGCCCCTGGAGAGGAGCAAGAGCCCCGGAGCCCCTCTGAGGGCGAGGACACAAAAAAGACTGATCTTCCAGAACCTTCTGGAAAGCAGCCTGCAGCTGTTCTGCCAGGGAAGCCCGTCAGCCGGGTGCCTCAACTCAAAGGTCTGTGTCTTGGGCTCCTTCGCTCCCGCCTGGCGACCTCGTGTGCCACCCAGGCTGCAGGCACTGCCACGCAGCTTCCGGCTCCTCCTTGGCTCCTGCCGCTTCTGAGGCCCCCGGGGACAGCCACCAACCAGCCACCTGGGCCTTTGCTCACCCTCCCGGCCACCTCCTGTTCCTCAGGCGCTGGTAGTTCCTGCTCCTCTTCACGCTTGCCGGCCGTCGTGCATGTCACCAACACCCCCGCCCAGTGCTTTCTGCCCCGTTCACTCCTCTGGCCCCTTGATTTATCTGCAAGGCTCTTCAGTCCAGTGGAGGCTGGTGGGCTGTCTCCACAAAGAGTATAGTAGCTGCTCCCCCTTCGGAGGGCTCATTATGTGTCTCAAATTGGTTGTCTAGGACCCTCCCGACAATTGGGCATAATTAGCCCCGATTTGCAGATGAGAAAACTGAGGCTCCAAGCGGTAAAGTATCTTGCTGAAAGTCCTTGAGTAGTAGGTGATGGAGCCAGGTTTGGAACCCAAGTAGGTCTGCTTTGAAAAGCACTTCCATCTACCCCGCAAGTGCCTTCCAGGAGGTCCTGGGGTGTGCCCTCCTAGCCCAGAGACTCAGAGGACACATGTCTGTCCTCTGCGACTATGTCAGTAGACAGCACCTCACATGTAACAGACCACACACACACACACACACACACACACACACACACAAGCATTTGGAGGTGACCCAGGGCCCATGCTGAGCCTTTCGCCCAACAACCACTCCACCCTATTCTGTCTGCCTTGTGGCAGAAAAGACAGAGCAGAAACAAAATCTCCTCATGTGAAGGAACCCCTTCTTCCCTTGGCAGAGCTGGGGCAGACCCCCTGATGGGATCACAGGGAGGGATCTCAGCCCTGTCCCCATCTCCAGCCCTGGGAAGTGTGACCACAGCAGCCTTTCAGGAGCTGAAGAGATGGGTGGGGAGGTTCCCAAGGGTGGCGGTCTCTGTGTCCTGTTGGGGGGGAGGACAGTTTATACCCCAGAGGAGGCCTCATGGCCACATATCAGCCATATTCATATGTTTAGGTCCTGTAGCATTTTAGAATTATTTGTGGGGCCCAGAAATTGATGCTACTTAAACTGTTCATTGCAGACGTCTGTTAAATGTTGTCATGAAAACTTTGAAATGTTATAGATGAAGGAACCTGTATTTTAAAATTTAAGACTGAAAAAGAATCCTACTTTAAAATATCCTAAACTCCAAACTAATATGGGACACATAACTGTGACTTGACAGATGACAACAGTGTTTCCTGAAATGTTGTTTTATATTGAATGCTGATCCACTGCATGTTGATAGATGTGTCCAGGGAAAAAAAGAGTTCCATGGTCTAGTTAGTTTGGGGAAAAAAAAAAGGTGAAACAAAATTAAATGGGGTTTGCTGCTGGGGAACTTGTCAGAACCTTTAATATTCTAATGTACATTCTGACCCTCTGAGAAGGATACATAGTAACCATTTCCCCAATTTGGGAAATGCAGATCTAGCAGATGCTTTTGTTGTGACATAGATGATGATGGTCATTGGGGCAAAGGATGTGAATCAGGTCCACCCGGGGCTCTTATTAAAATGCATATTCCTGGGCCCCACCTTAGGCTGCTGTCTCAGAGTGAACCTGGAATTTTTGTATTTCAAGAATCTCTTCCACTGGTTCTGCTGCATAACAAAGTTTGAAAATCTCTGGGCTAGATCATCAGTGTTGGTCACTCTAGAAATCTGGTCTCCAGGAACCAGTGAGATGCTTCCACTCTCCTCGGGGCAGAGGAAATACTGAAGCCACAAATGAAAACCTATGATCAATTTTCAATAATGAATGCCAATGGCAGGAAAGAGTGAGTTAGAAGTTACGCTGGTAGACAAGCAGATTGGTTTCACCAAGGGGTGTGGCTTTCCAAACACAAAATCTGTCAATGGTTTGGTCCTAAAATCCAGAGATTATCTATGGCAGGGGTCTCCAGCCTCTAGGCTACAGATCAATACCTCCTGTCAGATCAGTGGTGGCATTAGACTTAAAGTGCACAATAAATGTAATGTACTTGAATCATCCTAAAACCATCCCCTCCCCACCTCCAGTCCATGGAAAAATCATCTTCCAAGAAATAAAGAGTTTGGGGACTGCCGATCTATAGGATATTTGATGGCAGCTAGTTTGTTGCTAATTTGGGGAAAGGACAAGAATTAGTCCCCCTTGGGAGAGTCTGTAAGTGGTGAGAAGGCCCTCCGGGGTTGGGTCAGGGGTGGGTTGGACATGTCAGAGAGCCAGCTAGGACTGGTTACCCAAGCCCCCAAGAGTGAGAGGCAGATTCTGGGAAAGCGGCCCACTCCCACTGGCCCTTGGGTGACAATATGAGCAAGGGGTCCTGCAGGGGCCAGAGCCTGGCTGACCTGCCCTGTCCATGGCCCTGGGGCTTCCAAATGCCCCTCCTTGGAGTGGGGTTGGCCTCAGTCGGGGGAGCCTGTGAGAGGTGGTCCTGCACCGTCTACCTTCCCTGACCGCCCCTGTACCAACGTGTGCCCATAACAGTCTCCTCTGCGTCGCCTCTGCATGTCCCCACCCTCGGCCAGCCTGCTGCCCCCTCTTGTCAGGGTGTTGCAAGCAACGACCCCAGTGTGCTGTGTTGATACTAACAAGACACCTAACAGATTCAAGGGGAAAGAAATCAGCCGGTTTCCACTGGCCCAACTGAACAAGACATATCGCACAGTTTCTGAGAGACCACTTTCCCTCCATTGGGTTCTCATGAGCTGTGCTAATGGGTGTTACATGCATTCTCATTTTGTATTTTATCAGCTCGCATGGTCAGTAAAGGCAAAGATGGGACTGGACCTGATGACAAAAAAACCAAGGTAAGCTGAGAAAACCATGGTGCCTCTCTGCCGCCATCAAGTTCATCAAGAAGCCATGCTTTGTATCTGAATTGATCTCTGTATATGACACGTGGAAATCGTTGGTCCGCGAGGTACAGCTGTCATTCAAAGTGCTTTGTGTTTTCATGCAAACGTTTAAAATGCCAGCATTTATCCTTGGATACTTCTGCCAGGGAAGGGCAGTCAGCAGGTTAATGAATGAATGAATGAATGCTCCTCATTATAATTGTACCAGCATTGTTTGAATTAAGATGTTCATGGTAAATGAAGGTATGTTTGAATTTTCTGCAGTGAATTTTGAATTTTATGCTTCCCACTACAGGTCTACACACAGCAAAGATTGTATACACACAGAGAGATATATTTAAGATCTATCTAGAAAATACCATTTACTTAGGGGGCTGAGGGAGTGTTGAGCAAAAAATGGGATATCCAACCTAAAGTGGAGGGTTCTGGAAAAGCCCTAGAGGAGAGGACCTGTGAGGCAGGCCGAGGAGGAGAGATGAAGGGGGGTTGGTGAATAGGGGTGAGAAGAGACATTCCGAGGAATAGGATCAGTGGGGGTAAAGAGGAGGTGGGGGGAGCGGAGGAGCGAAATCACGTGTTTGGGAGTTCTGAGCATATCAGCTCAGTTGCTGCCAAGCTCGGAGTAGGGCTGAGGCAGGCCGGAGGAGGGAAGCCTGATACACACCCCACATGCTGAGTGAACATGTGGGCTGTGGTGCCCTAGAGACTGTCCTGAAATCCTGCCAGCCAGTCTTAAGATCTTCCCCCACCAAGGACCAGAAAACCGAGCAGCCTGCTCACCACCCAAACTGCACCCAGGACCGCACGGTCCTTCTCACGCTCCCTGTCTAGTGCACTCTCCTCCATGATGGGGCGTCTTGGAGAAAGCTCCCATAACTGCACAGTAGTATTTTTCCAGGAAACCTCACTGGGGCCCCAGATGAAGACCTGTTTTTCTTTTAGGCGTCCAAGAAGCCCCCTATCTATGCTGCCTGAAACACCTGGGTGTTCATCAGTCCTGGAGGACTGATGGAGTTCCCAGACGCAGAATCAAGCCCTAGGGTTTGGTCTTGTGTATTGAGGGTGGCTGCCCAAAGTGCATGCCCTGGAGGAAGTTGGGGTTCACCATCACAGGACCCTGGTGGGGCAGCTGAGGGTACTTACTGCAGAGACTTGGGGTGGGAGGGAGTTGCAGTAACTGGTTGCCAGTCGGGATGCCCATTCAGGGGAATCCTGTCCTCTGTTCATTCATCCATTCATAGGCTGTCCCTGCCCTGGAGTGGCTCACAGCCTCGCAGCAAGAGGTCAGATCTGTCATGAACCTAGACCGCTTGGCCAGGTAGGAAGCAGTAACAGCGGAGGGGGACCTTGTGAAGCTGGGGAAGGAGGGCTTGCCGGTGCCCACCATCAGCTTTTCTTGCTAGCAGCCCCAGGGCCTCAGTCTGCATCGCCCCCCTCACACCCCTGCTCCATCCCTCTTGCACTCCTTCCCAAGGCTGGCTGCAGAGACAGCCTCAGTCACCTTAAGTGGCGAATCTCAGTAAAGAAGAAGTCTCTGGTCAGGACTCTCCTCTGTAGCTCTGACTCCCTCTTTGGAACACCTTTGGACTTGGCCTCTTGGTTTTATTCCTGAAGGCGTGGCCCTTCCCACTCCCAGACCAGCCTCCTCCACCAGGGCATGCATCCCAGTCCAAGGTCCCCAGAGGTGGTCCAGACAAACCACAGATGCTATCCACCCTCCTTCACACACTCTCATCTCCATGAGGTCGTCCACCCCACAGACACCTTCCCATTGGCTGCCTGCAACACCCAGGCTACTTCATTAGGTAGATGGTACTCAAGAGTAACCACTGGCCTAATTAAGATTTACCAGACATTGGGAGATTGGAATAGACATATATACACTATTGCTACTATGTATAAATTAACTAATAATGAGAACCCTACTGTATAGCTTCCCTTGTGGCTCAGATGATAAAGAATTTGCCTGCAATGCAGGAGGTCCAGTTTCAATCCCTGGGTCAAGAAGATCCCTTGGAGAAGGAAATGGCAACCCACTCCAGTATTCTTGCCTGGAGAATTCCATGGACACAGAAGCCTGGCAGGCTACAGTCCACAGGATCACAAAGAGTCGGACACGACTGACCAACTAACAATTTCACTGTGTGGCTCAGGGATCTCTGCTCAGTGCTCTGTGCTGGCCTAAATGGGAAGGAAATCCAAAAAAGAAGGGAGACATGTATACATATGCCTGACTCACTGTGCTGTGCAGTAGAAACTAACAATACTGCAAAGCAACTACACACCAAGAAAACTTAATTTTAAAAATATTGGGTGGGGGGGAGATTTACCAGACAGTTTAGTTTTGAGACTTTAATCAGAAAGTAAGTGTGTGTGTGTGTGTGTGTGTGTGTTCTAAGTGGTGTCAGACAGAATCTTCAAGACCTGCCTAATCAGATACAGTCCTGATGTTGGCAAGGACGATTCTATCAGTGTAGTGGAAGAGGGAGAGGGGTTGGGGGGCCAGCATGAGCCCCCCACCTGGAATTGAGCAGAACCAGGAGCACTTCTGACCCATGACACACTGGAGATGTCTTCTTGAGAAACATCCTAAGAATCTTACACTTTTGGCCATCTCCATTGACTCTCTGGGTGTGAGCCACCTTTTAACCAGTGGTCTCCAAAGGGTGGAGCTGAAGTAGATCCAGTGGGCTGGAGAAAGAACATACAACACGTCTATCACTTTCTCCAGCTCTGCCATATGTAAGTTTTATAATGCACGTCATATGCTAGTCGTAGTATATGCATTAGCTGATGAATGACTGCAAGTTCATGGTCACTTTCTGGTCTTCCTGATAAGGACTGTTAAGGGCAAATGATCCACAGGGTTTGGAGGTCATGCCTTTAAACCATTACCTGCCTTATTTGTTTTTAGTTACTGTCCTTTTTCAGTTTGTACCTTTCTCCCATGTGCTGACTTTTATTTTGATTTTATTTATGTTTATGTTTAAGCCATCCACACCTTCTTCCGCTAAAACCCTGAAAAATAGGCCTTGCCTTAGCCCCAAACGCCCCACTCCTGGTAGCTCAGACCCTTTGATCAAACCCTCCAGCCCTGCCGTGTGCCCAGAGCCATCTTCCTCTCCTAAACACGTCTCTTCTGTCACACCCCGAACTGGCAGTTCTGGAGCAAAGGAGATGAAAGTCAAGGTAAGAGGAACCCACCTTTGGCAAGAATCAGGCTGCTCTGCTGTAGTTTTCAAAAGTATGCTTTTCTAGTCGCCAAGACCTTTCTTTAGATAAGCTCTCACCTAGAAGCACCATGTAGGACAGTTAAAATTCTCTGGTTAAAACAGGGGAAAGGAGGCACAGTACCATCCTTTTCAGCTCCCCTTCATCCCCCAAGGCACGGGAGGGGACCCTGGTTTGAAAATCACTGTGGGTTTCCTTGGTCTATTCCCGGCTTTAGTAACTCAGGGGTGTTCCCGGGTTGCCCTCATTGGGGTTGGACAGCATCCCTTGCACCCACACCTGTCCCAGTAGCTCACTCCCTCCTGAACCATCTCGTGGTCACCGGTTCATGTCAGTTTCTTTTTTGAGTTCGTGTTACGTGTCAAGGTCACTCGCCCCAGTCAGCTGACCATGCCTGTGCACCCGTGCTCCCCCTTCGGCCCATCTGCTAATTGATGCTGGTGCTCACCCGCCAAGGGCTCTTAGCACACCTGAAGCGTTACTGAACCCCAAGACCTGCTTGAGAGAGAAGAGAAGGATAGGACTAGCTCTCTTAGCACTCTCAGTCAGGTTCAACAAACTGTGTCTCCATGTGCCTCTGAAACCAACCACCACCAGGCAGATAAACCCCCCTAAGAGAGTCAGAGAATGGTGTAGGAAGTCTTCAGACGTCCTGCCTGCCAACACTGGTGGATGCTGACCGCGATCGTTGCTATGAGCTCTGTTGCCTTTTTATGAAATACATTGGCTCCACTTGTGCAGATAACTCATGTAAACAGTTCATCCAGGAGGAAATGGCACTCAGGAGTTTAGGAGGGGCTGTGGATTTGTGTATCTTTGTCATGGTAAAGGACACTTGTATTTGGCTGGCAGAGTGTCACCCCAATGTTAGCCTCATTTGAGTCAAGCTGGCAGAGGGGAGCTGGCATTGATGCCGGGTGGCAGAAACCTTTCCCAGTTGTAAAAAAAAACACTGTAAAAAAAACACTGTACTGTGCATTGGTTTACAGGGGGCAGATGGTAAGCCTGGAACGAAGATCGCCACACCCCGGGGAGCGGCCCCTCCGGGCCAGAAAGGCCAGGCCAACGCCACCCGGATTCCAGCAAAAACCACTCCCACCCCGAAGACCTCGCCAGGCACTGGTGAGAAGGACTTTCTCTGGAATCCTAGTGGAGGGGTGGGGATGGGGAGAGCTCGCCATGGAGGCCCTGGCTGTTAACCTCTGGTAGCCAACTGACGCCTGTGGTTCAGTAAGCATCAAATGTTCATTTCTAATTCTTTTAATTTTCTGAGCTAGATATTGAGTCCCCACTTTATACCATGAAGAAATCAAGGCTCTGAGAGTTTGCATGACTAAGTCTAACCAGCCTTTTAAGCATGAGGAAAATACAGCCATGAGACTAATAACGATGGAGAAGGGGCTTCTCTGAGCTTCTCAAACCCCACGACGCACCCCCCGCCCCGGGGAGGTGTTTTTCAGCCCCCAATGAGGGGTGGGACACTATGGGTGACCTCACACAGGGGGCAGCCCCTGCTAACTTGCTGGGATGTTAGGGGCCTTCTGAGAGAAACTAAGGGTCTTAGCTGAGCACTCACAGGCTGGGCCCATCTCCTTGACTCCTGTGAGTTAAACCCACTGGGTTCTGAGTACCAGCCAAGGCTTCAATTGAGCCATTTTGCTGCCAGTGGGGACAGCCAGGCTGAGTCCATCCTTCCCACTGCCCTGATGACTGTCCCAGGCACCTGGGTTTAGACTGTACATGACTCGGGGTGTCTGATCCAGGGCAGCGCTCAGGGGGCCTGTGGATCTTACACAGGCTGTGTGTGAGGCCTGGGCCGGCAGCACAGGGTCTCTGCTGCTCCTTGGCCCCAGGGGTGGCTGCCCAGAGTCCTGGATCCTGCATATCTTGGCTGTGGTGTTCAGGGAGGTTGCCGTAGGGCGGGGCCTGCCTGGATACCCGCTCACTAAGGCCTGTTGGTTGACTTTCTCCCATAAGGTTTATTTTTTTTTAATTATTATTCATTTATATTTTTGCTGCCCTGGGTCTTCATTGCTGCGCTCGGACTTTCTCTACTTGCAGCAAGTGGGGGCTACTCTCCAGTTGGGGTGTATGGGCTTCTCCTTGCAGTGGCTTCTCTTGTTGCAGACCATGGGCTTATTTGCTCAGCAGCATGTGGGATCTTTCTGGACCAGGGGTCAAACCCGTGTCCCCTGCATTGACCAGGAGGATTCTTCACCACTGGACCTCCAGGGAAGCCCAGGTTTTTCCTCATGTATAGAGTACATATGATACAAGGGGAATTCACAGACTCCTGACTGGATTTCATATATGATTTTGATCCTGCTTTTCTTCACTTGACATTATGCTAGTTGATTCATGCAACTGAAGTCATAACTGGAAGCAAGAACCTGTGTTTCTCTCTGGATCTTAACTGCTCTCGAGTGGACAGACCTCCCCCAGGTCGACCTTGTTTCCTGCTAGCCAGTGCCCCTGCTCCCTAACCCCATTCACCGCCCCTGCCCCCCACCTGCTGCACAAAAAACAAAAACTCTCATTGAGGCCTTTTCAAGCTTGATGATAATGAGGCTTTCTGTGGATTTTTCTTTTTAAGCGAACATGCAAGTGCAGAAAAAACCACCCCCTGCAGGGGCAAAATCTGAGAGAGGTAATTCTGAGCCTGCCTCGCCCAGCTGGGGTCATGCCTTTTGCACGAGCAGCTTGTTGGTTGGCTGGGGGTTTGGCGGGGGAGGGGGTTAGAGCCGGGAGGACCTGCTTTTGAAATGTAGGCTTCCCACATTGGGCCTGAAGTTGGAACAGATTCCTGCTCCTCTTCTCGCATGGTTTGTGGGGATGTATCTGTCCAATGGGCAATCCTAATCCTAATCCTGCGTGTTCTTGGCATCAGCCGGGGGCTCTGGGTGGGGCAAGGGGAGTAGGTGCCTCAAGCTGATGCGGGTGCTAGAGTCAGGACCGGGACCGGCCCTAACCAGGTTATGGGGAGGCCGCACTGGCAAGCCCTGTTCTGTGGGCTCCGGCCGCTGGCCATGTTCTCCAGATGAGCACCCGGGCTTAGGGAGGGAGGTCGAGGGTCTTGCCTGAGGTCGCCCTGTAGTTCAGTGGCGCAGAAAGGGTGGGAAGCCACCACCAGGTCTACCAGGCAGCCTGTGTGCCAGGGGGCAGAGGGCGGGGGGCGCTGAGCCTGGAGGCTTTACTCGTCCTGTTGCTGCAGAGCTTGACTCCTTGAGGAATTTCCAAGAGACATGGAGATTCAACCAAGAACCTCGTGCTCATCCTCTCTTTGACAAGAGAAGACACTGCTTCCCGCAGAGAGCTGCCCTTTCTCCTGCTTGGGGCCCAGCAGGTCCCCGTTTGGTACACATGCTTCCTGGGTGGTGGGGGGCATCTGCCGCCCTCAGAAATGGAGGGGAACGAGGCCGCCACTTGGGCACAGCGTCCAGCCCAGTGGCTCTCAGACTCAAGAATCCTGCTCAAGAATCAAGAATCAGGAGTCTGCTTTAGAATCCCTAGGAGCAAGGGAAGCACCAGTTTTGCAGGCCCTGCCCCTAGAGATTCTATCCTATCCGGCCTAGATGGGGCCCCGGAATCTGTATCTTACAGGTCCCACCCCCACCCCCACCGCTACCGTGGCGGCTCTGGAGATCCCGACGCAGGAGTGCCTGGGCCACATTTGGTGAAACACGGATCCAAGAGGCACATAGAATAGCCAACCGAGAAGTGTGATGGGGGGTTGAAGAGTGCAGGAAGAGACACGTGTTAGGAGCCCAGGGCTGGTCAGCTGGGAGAGGGGCGGCGCCCGCAGCCTTCCTGGAGGGTGCGGCCTCTGCCCCGAGTCCGGAAAGGCTCACTGCTATTTGCTGGGCAGCGCCTTTTCGCGGAGGGCGTTCTTGGGGGAGGGCAGAGCGGCTGTGAAGCGGCATAGCTTGTTTGGAAAGCCAGGGACTGGTGGACACGATGCAGGCATACCATTCTGGAACCCAAGTACCAGAGAGGAGTCGGGAGGTTGGATAGGGGTCTAGCGGGGAAGGGGCCTTGAACTTGATGAACAGCTCAAAATTCACCCTGTGGTTAGAGTCCAGTGGAACCATGTGTAAAATAGATAGCTAGTGGGAAGCTGTAGCCCAGGGAGCTCAGCTCAGTGCTTTGAGATGACCTGCACCGGAGGGATGTGGGGAGGGCATATACGTATTTTGTGATTTCCTACGCTTATAGCTAATTCACGCTGCCCTACAGCAGAAACCAACACAACATTGTAAAGAAGTTACCCTCCGACTAAAAATAAATTTAAAAAACAAGGAGTCCAGTGGATCCGGATGAGACCCTGGCCCACCATCGCATTGCCCTTATTCAGGGCAAAGGCCACGTATCCCTGCCCAGCCTCAGTCAGTCGGCATTATATTTGTTTCCCCTGAGCTCAGAGAAGGAAAGTGACTTGTTTGAGATCACTCAGCTGGCTGGAGCCGCTCCCGACCCCAAGGCTACTGGGCAGAGTTGCTCCCTCCTGGGAAGCAGTCCTGAGTGGTCCCTGGCGACCACTCTGTTGCTTCGCTGGGAAGCAGGATATTTTTGTCCCAAAGCAATGAGGCTGGGAAGAGGGGACATTTCTCCAGAAATGGAGGCCAGGGCAGCCTCCCGCCGGATTGACTGAACTTCCGACCTTGTTCCTACCGACCTGGTCCAGCCCTAACTCTGGGAATGGGCCGCAGGACAGAGACCCGTTTTCTGACTCCCGCCACCCCGGGCCCTGGCCTCACGCCCGCCTTCCTTTCCAGGTGAATCTGGGAAGTCCGGGGACCGCAGCGGCTACAGCAGTCCCGGCTCCCCAGGCACTCCGGGCAGCCGCTCCCGCACCCCTTCTCTGCCTACCCCGCCCACCCGGGAGCCCAAGAAGGTGGCGGTGGTCCGCACTCCCCCCAAGTCGCCGTCTGCAGCCAAGAGCCGCCTGCAGGCCGCCCCGGGGCCCATGCCAGACCTGAAGAACGTCAAGTCCAAAATCGGCTCCACGGAAAACCTGAAGCACCAGCCAGGAGGCGGCAAGGTAAGGGCGTGTGCGCGTCTGGCCTTGCGGGTGTCCGCCCGGGGCGCCCGGACCGGGCGTGGCGGGGCCGGGCGGGGTCAGGGGGATTGTACACCTGGGGCGGAGGCGGGGGAGCCCCTCTGCTCCCACCACCAGCCTGGGTCCCGCCCCCGCCCCATAGCACAGGCCCCTTCCCGACCTCTTGAAGGAAAGACGGTGGGTTAGGGTTCAGTTCTGTGCCGGCGTCACCAGCAGGCTGTGAGTGCCAGCTCAGGGGAGAGACAGCACCGGTTCTTCCCTCAGTCACCTCAGCCCCTGCTGATGGGATCGATCAGAGGTGACAGCGTGGTAGCCCCACGACCTGGGAGTTCTCAAAGTGGGTGCCTGCAGGGGGTTCCCCAGCTTCCTTGTGGTTGAGACCATGAGACAACCAGTATACAGGTGGGTGTCTCTGGCATTGGTTGAACATGTGTTTAGGTCTCAATTCTGGGGAAATTCGTGATACTATTTTGAACAACTGATTCTTCCAGGGACAAGTGGGTGCTCACGTCGTCTCTGGGTCTCCCAAAGGTGGAGAAAATGAGCTTCCAAGAGCCTAGGTGGAGGGATGTGGGCACAGCCTGGACCCCTCCTCCTCTCTTTGACCCCCTCCCCCATTGTGTGAGTTTCCTAGGATTGACATACAAAATGCCACCAACTGGGGACTTGCCTGGTGGTCCAGTGGTTAAGACTCCACATTTCTGCTGCAGAGGGCACGGGTTTGATCCCTGGTTGGGGAACTTAGGGTGCCACCAAGAAAAAAAAAAAACTAACACGGACTGGGCGGCTTATACAACAGAGATGTAATTCCTCATAGAGCCCAGAAGTCCAAGGTCAAGGTGCTAGTTTCCTGAGGCCTGCCTTGTGTGCCTGCAGGTACTGCTTTCCCCTCGTGTCCTCACTGGTCCCTCTCTGGGTCTCACTATGTCCCAGTCCTGCCTCCTATAAAGACAGCAGACCTATTGGCTTAGGGCCCACCCCAGTGAGCTCCGTTTAACTTAATGACCTCTTTAGAGACCCTATTCCAAACACAGTCCTGTTGGGAGGTACTGGGAGCTAGGACTGCAGCCTGTGGATTTGGGGAACACAATTCAGACCATGACAGCGTCCCCTGCCCCCCAGCACCAGGGAGGGAGATGGAGCAGAGGACAAGGACAGCCTCCCACCTCTTGTGTTGAGCCTTCTGGGCTGGACTGTTTCAGGAGCAGAGCGCCACCTGGTGGGCAAGGGCCAATGTCCAGAGCGCCCCCCAGCCCGGCCTCTGCACTCGGTTTTATTAAAATCGCTCTTGACTGGGGCCTGGGTCGCCATGGAGGGAGGGGTCTCAGAGGCCTTTGATCCATGTCAGTGGCCTTTGCCTGAAACCCTGCCCTTTGCTCCCCATGGAGCTTTAGGGCCTCCTGCTGGCCTTTCCCATCCTTGGGGCCCAAAGGGTCCTGCCCAGCAGGGAGGTCTGGGTGCCCCTTGGGGTCTTTGGGCCACAGGGCTGGGCCTGAGCAGTGTTGACCTCCCGGCAGTGTTTGCTGTGCTACTTAAAGACACATTGCCTGTCTCCTTATGGAGGGGGCTCTGGCGCAGCTGGCTTGAAGCTGACCCCTGGTGAGGCTTCTGGGCCAGAGGGACCCCCAAGGAGAGGGTTTCCAAGGTGATGGGATGTTTCCCACTGGCGTTCGCACCCCTCCCCCAGCGCTGTGGCTGTCCCACGTCTGCCCTGTTTTCATGGCACAGAGTGTTCGCCTCAGTTTTGGAAACTGAAAAACAAAACCCGACATGGCCAGTTCTGCACCCCCGAGAAGACTGTGGGGCTGTGAGCAGCATGCTCACGGCGAGAGGGAAACTGTGACGGGCCGTGTCTCCCAGCCCGCGGGGCTCCGCACACACCGGCTCCCCCCAGCCCAGGCTGCACCCCGTCAGCCCCGCGTTCACCTGAGGTCGGCTTGGAGGGTTCAGGCACCATTTGGCCCCGTTCTCGAAACCCTGCTGAGAGCAGCAGTGACAGGGCTGAGCAGGGAGGAGCCCACCCCTTGCCCAGGCCCAACCGGTCGGGTCAGTGACTCGATGCTTAGGATGGAAAGGGTGAGGCTGCCCCCAGGCTGTGGCTGTACCACGTGGGCGCAGATGCGTGTCCACAGCTACAGACTCCACGGTAAAGGAGAAAGGGGACTTTTCTTGGGATTTACTGGGGAAGGAGATGTGGGGAAGTGGCCAAGAGGGGAGTAACAGCGTCCTCGTAAATTCCATGCAAAACTTAGAAAACTGTGAAACAAAGACAATCTGAGCCATAACACCAGAGATCAACACATTAACCTCCAGGAAAAACAAAAAATAGATAAAAAAATTTTTTTTTCATGGTTGGACTTTTTTTTTTCCATTTATTTTTATTAGTTGGAGGCTAATTATTTTACAACATTGCAGTGGTTTTTGTCATTAGATAAAATTTTTAAAAAAAGAAAACAAAAGGGAAAAAAGGTACCTGGGATCCATGCAGAAGGCCTCTTGAAGTGACTCCAGTGGGGACTTGGCTGATGGTCCAGTGGTTAAGAATCCACCTTCCAAGGGCTTCCCTGGTGGCTCAGATGGTAAAGCGTCTGCGTGCAGTGTGGGAGACCCAGGTTCGATCCCTGGGTCGGGAAGCTCCCCTGGAGAAGGAAATGGCAACCCACTCCAGTATCCTTGCCTGGAAAATTCCATGGACAGAGGAGCCTGGCAGGCTATATAGACAATGGACTTGCAAAGAGTTGGACACGACTGAGCAACTTCACTTTCCAATGCAGGGGATCCCTGGTCGGGGGACTTAGATCCCACACGTTGCGGGGCAGCTAAGCCTGCGTGCCTCGACTACTGAGCCAGTGCACCCGAGAGCCCGTGCCCTGTAACACAGGAAACCGGAGAGGCCTGCATGCCACAGCGAAGACTGAGGCCAAAATTAAAAAGAAAAAAATGACTGGAGGTCCCTGTGAGATCTCTGGGTCCCCGTGGCCTCTCATTCGGCCCAGCGTATACAGTTAAAGGGACAACACTTCAAGAGTCTGCAGAATAACCCAACTTCCTCGGGAGGAGCAGGACAAGGTTATAAACCTGCAGAGACTGAAAACTGCACATCAGTCTAAATTTTTTGGAAAAAAGTTGTAAAACGTTTGTTTTCTGCTTCATACTCTTCTCTGACTTCATGATTGGCTACAGTGAACATGAAGAGTCCAAAACAAAATTACTTTTAAAGGAAAATACAAATAATCACTTGGCCACTTTAACCTAACCAGCTGGATCCACCAGAAGTGGGAGGGGCAGGAAGGAGCAGCAGTCCCCCTGTGACTGCGAAGGAGAATCACCTGGGGTTGGGAGGGGGAAGGGTTCTTTTAAAAACCCTAATGCCTGCACTTCCCTGGTGGTGCAGTGGATAAGAGTCTACCTGCCAATGCAGGGGACATGGGTTCTGATCTCTGGTTTGGGAAGATCCCACATGCTAGGGAGCAACTGAGCCCGTGTGCCCGGAGCCTGAGCACCACAAGGAAGAGGAGCCCCCACTCACTGCAACTAGAGAAAGCTCATGCGAGCAACAAAGACCCAGTGCAACCTAAAATAAAATTAGCTAATTTAAAAAGAAAATAGAACTTGTTTTTAAAAAATCCTAATGCCAGAGCCTCACCCTGAACCTTGAGAGTCTTCAGCAGTCCAGGCTGAAAGCCCGTGTCCCTGCATTCTTATCTACTGACCTCTGGTCTCAACCCTGACTGCTAGAGCCTCCCATGAGCCCTGGATCTGGGACTGTTTTTTTTTTTTTTTCCTCTTCTGGTCCTGCCCCTGCCGCTATTTTCAGATTCCAGACGACTCAGACCCAGCCCAGATCAGGTCCTAGGTCCTGCACCCCCCTCCCCAAGACTTTGTCCCAGTCCTGTTCTTAGGGGGATCCTGGAGAGGGGAGTTCAGACTCAAAGAACCAGCATTTAAAGCACCTAAAAAAACAAAAACAAAAAGGACCCACTGCAGGTGTAAGCGATGCGAAATTAACATCCTTCTGTCCTGATGAGCGTGTGAATCCTTGCAGTCCTTTTGAATATAATACAGGATTATTCCTAGTTTTCATAGTTTTTTTTTCCATTTATTTTTTTCATAGTTTTCATAGTTTAATTCTGCTCAATCAATGAGCTGTTGAAGGATTTCATGTCTCCTTCCTCTGGACTAGATTGAAGGTCACCTTGAGATCTTTGTGTCCCTCTAGCTTCACACTTGATGTACAGTAAATGCTGTATACTCAATCAAGGAAAGAAAGAAGGCTTTAAATTCAGAAAAAGCTTCATGCACAAGAATGCAGATTGTGCTTCATTAATGATTGCAAAACAAAACAACTCAAGTCTAAATTAGAAAAATAGTGATGCCATACTATAAAATATTTGCAGTCATTAATAATTATCTTTGAAAATAATTTTTACAATTATAAAAACTACAAATAAGTTAAAAATAAAATTGTATAAATTTTATAGGTTATATCTGCCACCTGTATAAAAGCCATGTATAGAAGACAAAAATGACAAAATGCTAATAGTGGCTCAGAGAAATTGTGACTGATTATTTTTCTCTATTTTTACCCTTCTTCCTAAATTTTTTACAGTGAAACCATTTCTAATTAGGGAAAAAAAAAATGGAGGGACTTCCCTGGTTAAGTGTTTTCACTGTTCTGGGAACTAAGATCTCAAATGCCATGCACTGTAATCAAAAAGAATTTAAAAAAAAAGAAAAAACTGGATAGAAATACAGTTGTGACTGGAAGTGTCACAGTAGATATTAGTAAACTACTTTTTTATTAGTAAAATAAAAACAATAAAAGAACATAGTTCATATAAGGAAAAGGAAAAATTAACAAATACAAGGAATCAAACTGTAGGGGAAAGGGTTTATCTGTTGTTAAGAGTTCAGATGTGTCAGTAATCTATTTCGTTCATAAAGACAAGCATCTGTGACGTCCTCGGCGTGGGGAGGCCGCG